TCTTGTGGTGATGTACCTGGCTGGATTTCATGATCTTCGGAGCTAACAGGTGTCATTGGAGGTGTTTGACGAGATTTACGAGGCTTTTGTTTGGCCAGAGAAGGAGATGAAGGTGTCAGGCCTAACGACCTAGTTCTCTTATTAGCTACTCTACTAGTGATATTCATGGTAAATAATAATAAAAAAAAAAAAGCTATATGTTGCTAACTGTGTAAAAAAAATATCAACTTTCTGGTGTATTCTTGACCTGTTTTAAGTGAATAATAGCAGAGAATCTTCTCAAAAAGCAGTAAATAATGAGAGGTGAGTTGGAGTCACAACCTTGCTCATCGGCTGATCGATCAGCTGTTCAGAAAAGTAATTTAAAGATAGTTTTTGTCTTCTTAATACTAGGGGAGGTAAACGTGCTTTCGAACAGATACTGAGGGTGGGGCTAGTTGCACCGGTTGCAATCCGCATTCCGGCCTGATAGACTGGATCAAGTTTTGCAAGGGTTTGCTGATACTATCATCCTAAATAAAAGACCCGTAATCCAATTTTGCACAGTCCAACGCCCGATATAGTTTTAGCACGGTGAACCTGTCCGAACCCCAAGATGTACCAATAGGAAACCGCAGAATATTAAATTTTCTGATAGTCATCGATCTTAATGTCGATATGTGCGCTTCCCAACTCAATTTTTGATCGAATGTAATTCCTAAAAATTCTTGTTGATTTTTATAGGTTATAAGTGAATTTCCTAGAGGTAATCCGGGAGGGGAAGGAATGTTTCTCTTTCGACTAAAGTGGACGCATACGGTTTTCTCTAAGGAAATTTGGAGACCTATGTTAATGGAGCAGTTTTTTATTTCTGATGGCGTACTATAATTTATTCAGAACATTGTAAATGGTCTCGGACCGGCAAACAATCGCTAAGTCGTCTGCAAACAGTAAGGGTTTAACGCCTCTTGGTAAATTGAGTCCCAAGTCATTTATTGCCAGTGAGAATAATGTTGGGCTTAGGACATAACTCTGAGGGACGCCACTTATCTGCTCATGATTCTGGGATAGTTCTCAGCCTATTCTAACCCTAAAATGGCTATTTGTAAGAAATTGCTTTATACACCAATACATTTACCCACCGATTCCCACCGATGTTAACTTAAGAAAGATGGCTGAATGGCTTATACTATCGAATGCCTTCATCATATCAAAGAATACTGCGACTGTTTGTTGTCTTTTAACAAAAGCATATTGTATTTTTGCCTCTAATACAACCAAATGATATATAGTATACCACCCTTTGCGAAATCCGGACTAGATAGGTTGGATCAGATCGTTCTTCTCTATTATCCACATTAATCTCTTGTTAACCATTCGCTCTATGTTTTTACAAAGGCAAATTGTTAAAATAACTTCCCGTTTTTTGAGGATTGGAATTATGATTGAATATTGCCAGGTATTTGGAATTTCTTCAACGGATCAAATGTAATTATAATAGCCAAGAAGCCAATTTAAAGTGTCGCGAGAAAGATCTTGACGTTGAGATAACGTTCACTATCATGCTATAGTGAACGTTATCTGAGCCTGAGGAGCATCTTTTACGAAATTTAATACATTTTCTAGTTCCCACATTGAAAACGGAAAGCTGTAGTGTGAAACGGTGTCATTGGTATTTTGAAGTTCAATTTCTCGATAGTCAATATTGCTATCTATAGTTACATTTCTAAAAAAAAAAAAAAAAAAAAAAAAAAAAAAAAAAAAAAAAAAAAAAAAAAAAAAAAAAAAAAAAAAAAAAGCCAATTCATTCGAAATAGATATTGAATCGTCAGATAATTGACCATTTACTAATATTGTGTGACGAGGATAAGAAGGATTTTTGTAATTTTTAGAACTTTATTCCACACATCAGCTGACGTTGTCGAGGCCGTAATGGAACTTAAAAATTTCTTCCAAGATTCAGTTTTACATTGGTTGAATGTTTTTCTAGAAATAGTGCGATGTATTTTGCATTAGCCATGCACCTCTGGAATTTTTTATAAGCTTTTCGATAATCTTTAAGTGCTTTTTTACACGTGTCATTTAACCATGGGACTGCTGGTATTTTTGATGCCCCTTTAGTCATTGGTATCTAGGTATTGGAAAATGATCCAGTCCACAATGATATAGAGGTTTGAACTGCAAAGAGAGAGATCTATGGCAGAATACGTTCCATAACTGGAGCTAAGAAAAGTTGGTTCACCAGAGTTAATAAGGAGTACTGCGCATGCGTTAGCCCTAGTTAAACATATCTCAGGTCGTCTTCTATAAAAATCTCAATTAGCAGTGGCAGTATACAAGTTTAATGTGAACTATTAGTTTTATCAGCTATATTAACAATTAAGTTTGATACTGAACAAAAAAATAAGGTGAGTAATCACTTATTTACAACTCAAGAGTGAACATGTAAATAGACCTTAGGTTAGTTAGATAACGGCCAGCCATAGACATCGCTAATCCCATCAGTGGGCTCTGGCTCTCCGTCCTAGGAAGGTCTCTGCTAACCAGTCCTCTCTATATATTTTCGTGTTTAAAAAAAATATATATATATATTTTTATCGCTTCTCATTTAACAATTTTTCCTATCATTTATAATATGAAATGCGATATTATCATATACTAATGTCGAGCAAGGGCAAAAACACTAGGTTCAGGAGCCTCGATACTACAATGAGTTCTCCTATTAAAAAAAGAACAAGGCGTTCGAAAAGAAATACTCCACCAGCCACACCAGAGAGCTCTGTTGAAGAAGTGGAACCCCAACCTGGTACCTCACAACAACATAACAATCATGAGACAACTCAGACTGGTGAAGAATTGCCGTTTTTCACTCAGAACCCATTTCAAGTGCTATCAAATACACAAAACGAACAAATGGAAGCAGCACCCACCCCCAGAGAACCCATACCCCCACCAATATTCGTTAGGAATATTAAAAACTTTCAGTTAATGTGTCACCAATTGAATAACCTAGTGGGCTCAGGAAAATATTTATGCCAAAGCCGCACCAATGACACTAAATAATTGCCCGACACTCCAGAAACATATAGAAAAATTATAAAATATTTATCTAACACCAAGGCTGATTACCACACGTATCAACTGCGTCAAGAGAGGGCGCTTAGGGTCGTTATCAGAAGACTGCACTCATCTACTCCAACAGATGCTATAATCGAAGAGCTCATGGGTATGGGATTCCATGTTCGCCAGATAGTGATCATATTCAAGGAGGATAGAGAACAGCCTGGAATAAAAAATAAAATACCGCTCCCACTATTCTTCGTTGACCTTGACCGAACGCCCCAGGTTCGGTGTGCAAATTTCTGAACGTACCGCTCGGAGAAGATTAAATGAGTATGGATTAATGGCTTTTCGTCCAGTAAGAGGACAGAGTTGATCAGAACTCACAGAGTAACACGGCTGGCTTTTGCTCGAGAACACAGCCATTGGGCTATGGACGAATGGAGTGCTGTACTTTTTACAGATGAGTCAAGATTCGCTCTTCGATCTCCAGACGGGCGTAAAAGGTTGCGGAGAAGAAGAAATGAAAGATATGCAGCCTGTAATTTTTCCCAGAGCCAACCTTTCCAACGTGGTTCCTTAATGATGTGGGCTGGGATTTCAATGGAGCGCCGCACAGATTTGGTTGTAGTTCGTGGAGGGTCTTTGATGGCCATTCGCTATGTAGATGAGATTTTGGAACCTCATGTGTTGCCTATCCTCAACGAAATCGGCTATCGTTCTATTCTAATGCACGATAATGCACCCCCACATGTCGCCCCATAGTGCAGACGTTTCTTTCACAGAACAATATTGAGGTTTTAGCCTTGTCAGCACGTTCTACAGATTTGAACCCCATTGAGCATTTATGGGATAACCTCGGAAGACGAATAATAGCGCGTACAACACTTCCTGATACACTGCAGGACCTTGAAAGGGCTCTTCGGGAGGAATGGGCTATCCTCCAGCAAAGCGACATTTCCCTGATGGTGGAAAGTATGCCGAGGTGTCTTCAACAAGTAGTGAAGACAAGAGGAGGAAACACTCGCTACTAAACGATAATGTAATTTCTTTTAGAATAATAATGGTTCGTTTTTCAATTTTTTTTTCTCCAATCTTTCTTACCCAATCACATTTAGATGATTAGAGGTAAAAAAGATTATAAAATTCCATAAATACTGAGTATTATCTACAAATACCATGTATTATATACAAATACAACTTTTTTTACAAGTGGGTGGAATTTTTTGCCTGTCAGTGTATATATTACCATAATTACTTTGGAAGAGAAACTAAGTACCTATATGTAATGGTGTTTTAAGTGATTCTTGAAGTCCTATTAAATGTAATTAGTCGAACAATAATACATTTAGAGATAATTTTTTACATAAACAGTGGTAATATTTTACCATTTTGGGGAGAGAAGCTTCAGCCCGAACCCTCCCCCCCCCACCGGTAGATGTGCCTGTGGTTTAGCATGTAAGTCTAGTGATAAGCCCGGCTCGTGAAAGGCGTTTTTAATCCTTTATTGTTATTAAATCTTCATGCCTGTTTTCTCCCTTTTATATTTGTTATTTATCATTAATTTGATCTGAACCTTCAACTAGTATTAAATCAGTATTAAAAATGTTAAAGAAATATTTTATTCTCATCTTATTCGAGAGGGATAATTTAGGTTATAATATTAGAGAAATAAGAATTAAACATGTAGGGTTAAAGGTAGTGGGTTTTAAGAGAAAAGTTAGCATGTAAAATTGAGGTGTTATAAGAAATTAGAGGTAATAAAAGACTGAACTGTCAACCCAGTTGATTTGATTTCTTGGGTGAAGGTTATTGCCAAGGTTATGGATGATATCAATTCGTCTTGCAATTATGTCACTCAATTAATGTTTCAATTATCAGCTGTTAAATATTATAAACTATTATTGAAATGCACTGAAGGTCAAAATTTCCACATGTTCGCTGCGTGTCACAAGTTATTTAATCGGTTCTTTGTTGAGAAGTAAGTTCAGTTTAATTTCGTTATTTCTTCGATTTGTATTAAATTAAGGTAATCATTGTAATTGTATACCATAATTCTAAGGTTTGTTTTCATATTAAAAAATGATATTATCCTAAATTTTGATCCAGATTATTGCACATTTCATTTAAATTGTAATTTGTCATTTAAGTCATTCCATAGCCAATAAAACAGAGGCCTAAGCCGGAAGATCTTGGAATTTGATAGTTTTTTGGTTATTTTTCGCATGCATGTATGTAAATAAGAATGTAAGACCCATTGAGGGTAGTAGAGCCAATTATATAACTAGATAAATTATTTAATGTTTCCAGAATGATTTTTAATTCATTAGTGCTTCTTTATTTTCCATGCATTACCTGAAAAAGGACTTCCATGAATCCTCTTTTTAAATACAGCTTTCAAATACCCCAAGGGACTCATCATCTAAAGTTCTCATAGTCCATGCTACCGGTGCGTACCTAATGACTGACCAGGTCAAGCTTTTATACAGTGTTTCTTAGAAATATTATAAAATACTAATCCATCGATTTTTAATCTTGAACAGACACTGCTTCCTGTCATGATTCACATGCATAATGTCATACAAAAAAATTCTGGTGCGCGCAACACACAACATTCACTTACCGCTCTACTTTGAATAGAAATTATTTTATGGCAATGTTGGGCTATTATAAAATTTTTGAAGTACACTTTTAACGGAGCTATAGCTTAAAAATTACTACTAACAAATCATTAAGACCATTAAAATTACAAAAAGTCTATTTATTATGTCGACTGTAGGCAATAAAAATCTAGTTACTCCATCTGCTTTTATAAACCACACAACTTCAGTCTCTGAGCCTCTCAGTTGACAGAATGACTAACTCCAATTTCAACATTTTTGAGTAATGTCGTTTTAGTAATATTTCTAGTTGGAAACGTTATATCTATACTGACAGTAAGTTTATTCCAGAGTAGGTGATTGCAGTGTTGAAATATAGAAGTGTGAATAAAGGTATACATTTTGCCTTTAGGAATATCACTAAAATTAGTAATAAAGAATGTTAAAATTGGAGTTAGTCATTCTGTCAACCGAAAGGCTCATATATGCCTAGAGAGATTTTAAATTATATCTGAATATTTAACCTATAAATGATTATGGATTGTAAGGACTATTAGTAATTAAACTGTTATAAAATAAGGCTGTTTTATTTCTTCACCATATTTATTTTAATTTACACAGCTGCGTTTCGGCTGGTAAGCCACCTTCAAGCCATTTTATCATCCAACATGCTTTTTGCATGTAGTCCAAAGTCAGATTAAATTATTATCATTCGGACAAAGGTTCATTAATTTTGCTGAGTCCAGGAACCTAGTTGTAGGGAGTACTCTGTATCCGCACAAGAATATCCACAAAGGCACATGGACGTCACCCGACCGGTCAGTTATCAATCAGATTGGCCATATTCTAATAGGAAGATGCCATAGAAGCAGTTTACGAAATGTGAGAACATTCAGAGGAGCAAATGTAGATTCGAACCACTTTCTGAGCATAGCACATGTGATGGCGAGGATCTGCTCGGTGAGGAATTTGAAAGCTCCTGAGAAAACCAAAAGTTTCAACCTTAAGAAGCTAAAGGATGTACAGACTTACCATAGCTATGCTGAAGTATTAGACACTAAATTATGCCTGGGAGGCTATGATGCTGGCCAGAACATTGAACAGTTCTGGTCGGAGTGTTGTAAAGCGATAATGGAAGCGGCTGAAGAAGTGCAAGGACCATATGAGAAGGAACAAAGGTCACCCTGGTTTGATGAGGAATGCAGAGCAGCCAAGGACATGAAGAACGTTGAATATGAAGCAATGATTAGGACAACCACAAGGAGATCTGTTGATTAATACCGACAGAGAAGGAAAGAATAGAAACGTTAACATCGCAAAAAGAAATGACAGAAGGAGGGAGAGGAGATAGAAAATGTAGAACTGTTGCACCGTAACAAAGAAAGTAGAGATTTCTTCAGAATGGTCTATAAGGACAGAAAGCAGTATATTAATAAATTAAAACCCTGTAGGGATAAAGAAGGTAACCTTATGACATGTCGGATGTTCTTGGCGAATGGAGGAATTACTTCAATCTTCTCAACTCAAGTGAAGAAGATACATGTGATGAAGTAATAAATCTGTTCATTGATTTCAGGACTTCAACAAGGGGATGCGCTGGCCTATATGTTGTTTAACCTAGCACTTGAGAAAGCTGGTTTACGCGAATGATAAGGTAATATTTTCACCAGACTTGTCCAACTGTTGGCCTATGCAGATGATATAGGCATTGTGGGACGCTCCCTGCAGGCTGTGACTGATGCTTTTCTGGCACTGACGGGTCGTGCCAGCAGACTTGGACTGGAAGTTAATGAGTCCAAAACAAAATATATTGTAACAGAAGAAATTCCCATGCGAGACAGTCACTATTGGGCCTCACAAATTTGAGAAGATTTCGAAGTTCACTTATCTGGGATCTCTAGTCACTCAGGATAATAACCCCGATATTGAGATAAGAAGAAGGAACTCAGCGGCCAACAAGTGCTACTTTGGATTGAGCTAGCAGCTAAGCAGGCGGATACTTGCCAGACAGACCAAGCTCCACCTCTTGAAGACATTGGTACGTCCCGTACTTCTTTATGGATCAGAGTGCTGGACCACTTCAAAGGCCACTGAAAAGGAACTTCTTATTTTTGAAAGAAAAGTTCTCCACCGTGTTTTTTCGTGTCTTCCACGAACACAAAGGGTTCACAAGAAAAAAAAAATGTTGTAGAATAGGTGCACTAAAAACGCCTTCAAGGTCTGTCAATATTAAAGGATGCAGGTATAAAGAACAATATTTTATATATATTAAGAATATATAAAGAGTATCTGGTAAGCTCTATGAATAAGATATAAATCTAGGCATATATACATATTTATAATTTCATTTACTGTGCCTTATAATTACTTACTGTCTATTGTAATTTAATGTAAAACTGCAATTTTACTACATTAAAGACGTAAAAGTCCGCCAATATTAGAATATACTTATTTTGTAATTTAAGTTTATGCATATATATTTTTATTTGAATGTTAATTATGTGTAAATTTATTCAAAGAAGTACAAAAAACTTAAATATCATATTTACAAATTACAGTTCGTGTCTCTTATTTTTTTAAATTTTCTTTGGTTTGTTTATTTGGTCTTTTAGGCATAAAGCCCTAGGGTCATGAACGAGTTCAGAAACTTTAGGAGAGGAAAGAAAAAAGAACTACTTTTATGTCTGATTCATTATTATTTAATATCACTGAAATATCTGGTCTAAGAGGCAATCTATTTAAGCTTGAGGTGTAATAAGGTAATTTCTGAAAAATATGACTGACAGTGAGAGGGCTATTGCAGTATTGGCATGTTGGAGATGGCTGTTTTTTATAAGATATAAATTAGTCAAATTTATATAACCTATTCTTAACCTAGTTACGGTGACCTCTTCTCTACGATTAGATCAGTTTGATGTAGTCCAGGGCTTTACTGATTTTTTTATAACTTTTAATTTGCTTGGTGGGCTCTCGTTTCACATGAACTGCCAGCTGTCCGATATGTTTTTTGAAAGGTAAACTCATTTCTGGAGGTGTTAGGATCGCATTACCTTGGCATGGGACCACGAGTGCTTGTTTGGCTGTCATATCTGTAAGTTCATTACCAACTATTCTCGTCTGACTGAGAGTCCATATAAAGTAAAGAGATTTTCCCAAATTTTTGAGAGTATGAAGATATTAGTGAACTTTTAGGATAACGGAATTTTTTGAGTACATATGGTTTAAAACTTCTAATGAACTCAAAGAGTCGAATATTAACACTATTGTGTTTGGTGTTATTAGCAAACTGTAACTTCCAAAATATGGATAAAAATAATTTAATTTTTTATTTTAAAAATTGTTCATGAAGTTTTTTTGTAAGTAGTCTGGGAAGTTCTGAGCCCTATCGGTTCCTGAGCGAAGCTTTATTTGGGATAAAGGGTAGAAGACTGACCAGAGGGGAATTCCAGGATTGTATCAGGGGTATGTGGAACAAAGTTGAGTAAAAAAAATGTAATATTGTCCAAATGAAAGGCTGTCTTATTTTCAGAATTGAAAAGATATGGGAAAACTAGGAAGAAGAGGTGCTAGGACCATCTCCCAGTTACCTCTCCATTCATAAAGAGATCAGCATTACATAGATTTATTTAATTTTTTTTCTGGTCCTCCCCTCACCCTGATTTGAGCAGATTTTGATATGCCAATGACCAATATATCGGCCTCACGACCTTATTTTATCGAGATTATTAGAGTTTGATCATTTTATTTATTTGTTTATGTATTTCTTTGTTCCTATTCCTCCATAAGTTGAGCAGATATTCCCAAGACTTACTTTACCAATATATCGGCCTCTTTCATATTGAATTTTATTTTTATTGCTAATAAATGTGTCAACCATCCATAAAGAGATCAGCATTAACATAGATTTAAGAAAAGACCGATATTTAGGCCTTATGCCCTTATTTTTTTGAGATTGGTAGACTTTGAAAAAAATTTATCTAATTTTTTTTTTTTGGTCCTCTCCTTACTCTGATTTGAGCAGATTCCGATATTCCAATGACCAATATATTGGCCTCACGGCCTTATTTTATCAAAATTAGTAGAGTGATTTCTTTTTTTTTATTTCTTTTTTGTTTTTTAAAAGCTCTACTCCTCGTGGACCCCGAAGAGAAGATGCCCGAAGGTGCTATGAATCGGTCAGGGCACATCACAGCTAATTGTCCTTCGATTAAATGCTTCGAATGTGGGGACAAAAGGTCACATCGCTAGGTCATGCCCATGTTTCTAAGGACCCTATTGTTGTGTCCTCCGAAACCCAGCCGACTAGTGTGGCAATGATAATCCTTTCTTGTAGGAACATTATTGGTTCAGCCATGTCATCGGAGGATTTAAGTTTCTTAAGAGTCGAATGTCATTTAATTAAATTTTTGTTCCATTGAAACTGATTCTGTTGAGTTGAGTTCTGTAGAATCAAGCCCTGTTGAGTCATGTCCTGTAGTGTTGAATTCCATTGTGTCAAATAATGTTGAGTTGAGTTTCAAGGTGTCTAATGCATTTAGGTTGAATTTTGATAAATCTAGCTTAACTGTTTGAAGTTCGTTAGGGTTAATTCCCATTTTTGATTTGAGAAATGTTTTGGAGCCATCGGCTGGTGTAACGATGCCTATTACTACGATTATTCCAGGTCTCTATGACCTAGGTGCTTACTTATCGTTTATTGGCTACCGCAGTCTTGGGAAATTTAATATATCTCAAGGGATACCCACTATTAATTGACTAGTCATAGAAGAAGACTTCATCCATCTTCTTTCCCTTTGGTAGGATTACAGACAAACTGACGGACAAAGCCTAGACTATGACTTAAGGACATGAGGGGGAGGAATTATATTTTTTTTATTGTTTAATGGGACATCCATTTCTTGTGGGAAATAGGTTGTAGATTGTATATTTGAGGGAAATATGTTTTATTTTAGACACCAGGGCAAATGCTGTGTCTCCCCATCTAATCGAGCATGCCACTTTTTCTACCGTCCTTTGCTGCTTCACCTCCATGACATCTTGCGAAGTGTTGAGGATTAGTATCACAGCCCTAAGCCTCCTCTCTCCATTGCTTTGGGCTACGATCCTTGTCGCTATTCCGAACCTGGTCACCAGGAGGAAGCATATTCCTCCCGCATCATATTTCCATCCCTTTATTTCCGAATGGCATCGGTGCAGGAATTCTGTTCTCCTTTGATGTTCCTGAAGTTGGGTTGTCACCTCTTATCTCTGGTTTTTGAGTTATCCAGTTACATAGTGGGCTCTTTCCCATCCCACCATATGGCGCCTGAATTACTTGAGTTTGTCGAGGGCTTTCTTGTTTTTGGCCAATGTCCTCTTATATTCAACATTGGCCTCCTCCATGCCCTGCTCCACCATGGCTAGTGTTGTTGCAAGCACTCTCGAAGCTACTCTCCTTTGAAGTCCCTTAAGAAATTCCTCATCCGTAAGGATCCGTCTCGCCAGCGTTTCTGGGGATGCTGTTTTGTCCCCTTTCCACTTGTCCATCATCATCTTGTATGCCTCTGTCCCCCTTTTTATACGACTGGGGTCGGCACACCACTCAACGTGATGTCCCTTTTATTCTGCAGTGAACCAAGGTTACTTTTTGGGCTTTTCTTCGATGTCCAGATTACCTGATCCAATTTATTTTGGAAATAAAATTTATCTAACGCTCATCTTTATTATGAGTAATCTATTTAATCTTTCTTACCTCTATGCCCCTTGTGGCAGCCACGTGTTTTCCTAACCTTAACGCCTTGTGACAACCACACTGTCTCACTTGCTTTCCACTCAGCTGCTGACCTACTTAGGGCCTCGTGGCAACCACGTAGTTTTTCACCTGTTCTCCTCAGGGCGTCCTCGCGGTCTCCTCTTCTTTTCACCTTCAGCAGCTGAATTACTTACTGCCTCATGGTGATGCGGTCTCAGCTCCAATAGTTGACCTACTTAAGGTCTCGTGGCGACCACATGCTCTTCTAACCTTATCCGCCACACTTATATTTTTATTTTAGATTTAATCTGGTTTGCTATGAAGTAATTGGTTGTAACCTAAATTAAACATTTTTTTATCGTTATTGCTTTTTATTCAACATAAAACATGGTTGGCTTAAAAATGACTAAATTTATGTTTTCTGATTCTGTGTATGTAATCAGACCATGGTTTATGGTAAATTTTTATAAGTTTTAATGTCTTCTATCACATATTAACAATTATATGAAATTAATGTCAATCTAAACTTAAACAACATAAATTTTGTGGTTTGAAGTCATTTTTGCTTCAAGTGGAAATACAATAAATATAATCTGATAAATATTTCCATAATCATTGATTTTATAAAAAAAAAATGTATAGGGTCATTTTTATAAAGATTTTAAAGTACTTTAATATTATACTGAACAATCTTTGCGAAAAACCTCATAGTTTTTGAGATATTCTTAAAAAACTAAACAAATATAATTTTTCTGTCCTTCTCCTATCATAACCCGATGCGGGATTCTTTGGGACTTTTTTCCCATTTATTATAGAAGGGGTAATAAACAGTTTCTGACAGGTGTCATCTTTATCTTTTTAATGTTGGGTTCAATCCCTAATTTAACTGGACTAAATAATTGCCCTGGAGCTAGGACCCGAAAATTGACCTGATCGCGGACGAAGGTTTGATTGTAAATTACGAAAATGTATATTATTTTGAGTAAAAATAACCTTGTCTGCCATTCCAGAGCCGCTGCTTTAAAAAATTACAGCTGATTTAAACAATATTAGGCCAGTAACTTCAGGATCGAAACGGGAAATCCATAGCAAAAAATTTGAGAAAACTTTTATTTTTTTAACTTGTATGTATGGGTTAAGACATATAAAAAACAAAATTGCTAATGAGGGCTGCCAAGGGAAAACTTTTTACAGCCAAAAAAGTCAGATTTTTTCGATATTTTTTTGTTTTTTCACCTATAACTCTTAAACGATGCATCAAAACAAAAACGTATTCTTTAAGAAATTACAAAAAGTTAAATTGTGCGAGTCCACAATCTTAGTAATTTAATCGAAGTATAAAACCACGGCCAACAGACGCTGATTTTCGCCAAATTTTTTAAAAACTGATATAAATTACTATAAGTGGTCCTGTAACTTTTATGAAATGAGTTCCTTAAGAGCAAAACTCATAGAATCAAAGTTGTAGAGCATCAGATTTAGCATCCACCGAGTTCTGAAATTCTTATTGCAAGCAAATTATATATCTCAAATTGGGATTCGTTATTTCTTTATGAAATTCATTATCTTTCGACACATCGTATATCAAAATCCTTCACTGTTGAGACCTGGAAAAGAGGCTTATACTGCATGTAATAGACACTAAACAAAAGTAACTCATTTGAAAATTAGGTTTAGAGATACTCCTTCGACACACAGTTTAACATTCTTTAATTTATTAAAGAGTAAATGTTTCACTTTGATGCATCGATTAGGAGTTATAGGTGAAAAAACAAAAAATATGGCTTTTTTGGCTGTGAAATGTTTTCCCTTAGTGGCCCGGCTCAGCAATTTTGTTTTTTACAGGTCTAAATCCATATACACAAGTTTAAAAAATAAAAAGTTTCCTCACATTTTCCACAATGGATTTCCTGATTTGATCCTCAAGTTACTGGCCTAATATTTTTTAAATCAGCTTTCATTTTTGAAATTCCAGAGGTACTAGCTGAGTCTCATATGTTATAGGGTGATAATAGCGTCCTTGGCCAATGTTATATTGGCAGTTTGATAATTAATTGTTTTCAAATGCTGGGACAACTATGAGCTATGCACTACAACAACATGAATTTATAGAAACACTTACTTATCCTCACGGGAAATAAATCATCCCATTAATTATTACATTTGTATTTCATTCATGTGAGTATAACTTGAAGCAATTGAAGTAACCATGTAGATCGGTTATTTAAGTGTTTAGAATGTATTTAAATTGTTTTATGTCTAATTAAGTTATTGAGGTTTGGCATTCGACAAAACTATAATATCAGTCTTATTTATATTTAAGACAAACATATTAATGTTAATTCCAGTAATGAAGAAAAAAATAATATAATATTTTTTAACTAATGTTGTGTTGTTTTTTAAAAATTATTTTGTTCATGGCTGAAATATAATATCTCCTAATTATAAAGTCACAACTAACATTAAAAGTTTAAATAATTTATATATGTCTGATATATCTTTTTAACTTAGCATTTATTTTGTAAAATTAGACAATACAATTTAAGATTATATATATATATATATATATATCAACAAATCATTCATTTAAAATTTTAGTTTTAATACTAACTTTTCTTACTATTCTTTAGTTTTTAAATAATTAGAAAGAATTAAGAGATTAATACAATGTTTCTTCAGGTATGGATCCTAAGAAGGTTTCAGTCTTGGTTACTGGTGGTGCTGGTTATATAGGGTCGCATGCTGTGGTTAAACTATTGGAAAATGGTAATATGGTGGTGGTGATTGATAACTTGTCAAATTGTTATAAAGGTAAGAATTTGTTCACATTTGTCAATGTTGTCAATTCAGTTTCAATGTAAACTGACTGAACTGATTTTTCAAAAAAATCTTTTTGTTTATTCATTGAAATGTATTGACTTTTTATTTCTCTTTTAGCTAATTGATTAAATCACAACAGTCCTACTTTATTTCATTTTCTACACCAATTTTTCAGCCCTTAAGCCGTTTTCAAGGGAAGAAACCTTTAACAAATTAAACAATCGTCACAGCCTAATTATACTTGCTTATTAATTATTTTCATTTTATACTTTATATTGCATACCTATTTTAAACAATTAAAATTATATCGACTGCATTGCCCTTGTCAACATAACTTAATCAGGCAAAAACTAAAACCTTATAGCGGAAGATTTTATTGTTTGACTAATTAAATTGTGTTGACATGGGCAATGCAGTCTTTATGATTTTTATTGTAATATAAAGTATAAAATGAAAATAATCAATGAGCAAGTATAATTAGGCTGTGATAATTGTTTTATTTGTTAAAGGTTTCTTACCTTGAAAACGGCCTAAGGGCTGAAACGTTGGTGTAGAAAATGAAATCAAGTGGAACTGTTGTGATCAAACATGTGTTTTTACTATTAGTATTAAAGTGAATACACATGATTAATAGATTTAATTTTGGACAGCTTGGAATTTATTTGAATTTATCTTATATTAACTGATATTATTTTTAAAAAGTACTCCAAAATAATGAAAAAAAATATATAGTTTTAAATAAAAATTTAGCTCATAAAGTTTGAGAATTTAAAACTATTTTATGTAATAGTGAACCTGGGAGACTGTTGCATTTCTGCATAGATGCAATAAACTGTTTAGTTTAGGCTGGTAGACCTGTAAATAGATATAAAAATGTAAAATTTTAAATAAATTTATTTTAAATATACCATATCTTTAATAAACTAAAAGGATAAAAAGTAATATTTTGAAGATAGAGAGAGTTCCCAGAAACATTAGCAATGTATTTTAAATAAAAAAATTTTAAGCATAAAATGGGTGCTATCTACGAATGCCAAGTGACCCTAGGTGTTACTGTTTCAAGTTTTGCATCCATCCCATAGGCTTACCAGTATCAGATCAACAATGAAACTAATATGTTTTAGTTAATTAATTTTGAATGATATTGTAAATAAAAAACTACTTAGTCAATTTTTTTCTGTTGGCTTTACAGACTTGCAGCCAGTATCTTTGTTTGTTACCCTATAAAGCAGTGAAGTTTGTTTTATAATCACCACTATATTCTTTACTGTAATCGAACGATGGTTGACCTCTTTATTTTATATTTCCTATGTTCATTTTTAATTTCTTGGAGTATGGAATTACCAACTGGGAGGGCCACTGCTGCCTCGAACCTCCAGAGGATCTCAACTGTGCAAAATCAGGGGTATGGATTATGACAGGGACAGTTGGTTGCTGTGAAGCCGATCTTGGAAGGCTTGAGCACTTATCGCTAGAGAGAGTATTTTTTCAGGCCTTTTCACAATTGAGGCATATCCAATTTTTCATTGATGACCTTAGTCTTTCAAATTCACACTCTTCTGCAATTAGGCATTTGCCTTGGAAAACGGCTTGACATGTAGAGATAGAGCATGTCAAGGTTTTTTGTCATCTCTAGCTATTGTCTGTTTACCAATTTGGCATAAAACCATCTTGCCTAGTATAAAATAAAGTGTAATATAAAGTTACAGGAAAAAATGTGATAAATGGAGCAATGAAAATTGAGGTAGCCCCAATTTTCATTGGGAGGCACTGATTGATAGATAGTGGCTAGTACTGGGCCTTATCTCATACATGTGCTCCTCACTCCTAGTCTCAACTGAAATATCTAATTAACTACCTGTAAGCCGACTAAACCTTGGGTCACAACACCGCAGTTAATAGATGGGTCTAGTTAAAAAGTATAACAAAACTCTGTCCAAAAACTACTAAAATCACTGATTAAACTAGAGCTAAACAACTGTTACACATTAACTGTACTGAAGCCTGGACCACTCTTATAATATATTGCAAACGTGCAGGTTCAATTCTCAGCAAAGGAGACTGAGGTGTAAAGAAAGCTATATGGAAGCCTGGAGGACCTTAGTAGGACTACTGAATTCTTCATTTTAGTTCCTGACCTAGTCATGTAAGGAAAGAATAAAGAAGAAGAAAAATGTCAAAAAATACATATTCTCTATCTAAATCAATGAACGGTCCAAAAGCTTCTATGATTAAAAGGCGGTCTATTTCTGCACCACTTTTTTTGTGGTCCTTCTGATTATGCCATCCTCCTACTACCTACTGAAATATATTGATTAGTTATTTTTCACAAAATTATTATGGTCATAATTATTTAATTATAGAACTATTTCCTCCCAAGTAAAATAATATGATGTGGACTTATAAATATGATAAATTCTTAATAATTTATGCTAATAAAAAAAAAGAAAATTGCCTAGTAATGAGGAACATGAATAATTGATTATACGTACTCTAATGTGAACTATTTGATCCAAATTATTAACATTCGTCTAAAACTTTGTGAATGACTTTATCTTATTGCAACCTAAAACTTCTTTATTTACGAAACTTCTCAGAAATGGGGCGTTTTCTTATTACTTGAACTAACTCACTAACTTGAGTACTTGAACACCCTCAGTGCTCAAACCATGCCCTGAAGATGACCCACATGGGTTGAAACGTTGCATAAATAAAAAATATTCGAAAATTAACCGTTGTTCGTCCTTCAAACTAACAGCCGGGATATATTGGATAAAAATGTCTATGTATCTATAAAAAAGATGTATATATCTGTGTGCGTAGAAGTATTCCAGCGCATTCTAAACCTTGTGTGGAAAACAAGGGACATTCCAACTAGACCTGGGCACTCTTGAAATAATTTATTTCTGAAATAAATCATATGGTTATTCCACGAATGAATTATTTTGAGAATAATGGTTATTTTTGAAATAATATTTCAAACTGTCAATGAAATAATCTTGATTGAATAACTGCTGAATTTATTTCTGAAATAATTATTTCAATAATTTGAGTTCTACCAATGGGTAGTTTCTCTTCATGTTGTACATGTCATGTTACTAATGTCACATTTACTTATTGTATTTTCCATGTAATACAGTTGTAAATTTCAATAAAAAAAGATTGCGTCCCCCCTCCCCACTCTCCCGCATCGACTTTTTGTAACATTTCGGATTTAATCGATATCATAGTCGAGTATTATGTTTTCGGAGGTGCTTTTTATGAAAATACTGTCAAATTTGAAAAAGATACAATAACATAAAAAGCCACGTTGTCAGTGATTAAATACGAAAAGTTACTAAAAGTCGATTGAGGGTGGGGGCGGGAGGCGCCCAATTTTAAATTCCACCGTATTTTCATAATAAGCTACCCCAAAAACACAATAGTCGACCCTGATATCGATTAAATCCGAAAAGTTACAAAAAGTCGATGCTGGATGGTGGGGGGAGGGCAATCTCAAATTCGACCATATTTTCATAATAAGCTACCCTGAAAACATAATAGTCGACCTTGATGTTGATTATATCCGAAAAGTTACAAAAAGTCGATGCTGGTGGGTGGAGGGAGGGGCAAAATCTCAAATTCGACCATATTTTCATAATAAGCTACCCCGAAAACATAATAGTCGACGCTGATATCGATTAAATCTGAAAGGTTACTAAAAGTCGATGGGGGGGGGGGGAGGCGCAATCTCAAATTCGACCATATTTTCATAATAAGCTACCCAGAAAACATAATAGTCGACGCTGATATCGATTAAATCCGAAATGTTACTAAAAGTCGATGGGTGGGGGGGGGAAGGGAGGCGCAAAAACATAACAGTCGACCCGGATATTGATTATATCTGAAAAGTTGATCAGAATGATTATTTCACATTATTCCTGAAATAATCATTTCCGAAATAATTATATCATTATTCCAGGAATAATCATTTCGGAAATAATGTTCAGGTTATTTCATGAAATAAATTATTTCGGAAATAACTATCGAGGTTTATTTAACGATTTATTCTGGGAATATTTTTCAAATAAATTTTGCCCAGGTCTATTTCCAACAAAGGATTGGGAAGTATCTATTAATTGTCCCAATATTTAAGAAAGGAGACGACAGAGAATGTAAATACCATTGGGAGATGTCTCTTCTCAGTTCCCTGAGTAAAATATACTCAAAAGATTTTAGAGAGACGACTACAAAGAACAATATGGATTTAGGCCAAATAGGAGTACCCAGGATCTCATATTTACTTTAAGATAAATTTCTGAGAAATTAGTCGAAAGGGCCAAAGAGATATATGCTTGTTTTGTAGATCTGACTAAGGCATTTGACTGAGTAAAAAAGCAAGACATTGCAAAAGCCTTAGAAGACAAAGGTAATCTATCAAATGGGATATAGAAATCTAATTGATGGTTTTCAGAAGCAATGTATGAAACCTTCAATTCAACCTCCGCATCCTTCAGGAAGAATTAAATAAGATAAATATGGAAATAAATGTGGAAAAACCTTAACTATGAGGATTTGCAGAAAGCAAGGTAAAGGCAACAGAATTGTTCACTTGAGTGTAGTTTCATTGGAACAAGTGAAGAATTTTAAATACCTTGGTGCCCACATCAATGAACATGGATGGATCAACAGAGAAATGAAGGAAAGAATGAAGTCTGCAGGAAGGTGCTTTGACGCTATCAGGAGAGGATTCTTGAACAAGCAAGAAGTGAGATGGGGAACCAAAACAACTGTATACAAAAATATTTTCCTCCCTATAATGACTGCTCCAGCGAGTCATCGACCCTCATCACTAAACACCTCAGTCAGATTCAGGCCATGGAGATGCAATTCCTGCGCAGGGTCGAGCGAAAAACCTAGAGAGACCGCATAAGGAACTCCACAATAAGGAAAAGACCAGCCGAGACTGTGATAGAAGAAAATCGTTTGAGATGGTTTGGTTATGTCTCTAAAATGCCAGAGTGGCCAATCGAGTGGCCAGGATTGCCTTGGAAAGTAAAGTTGAAGAAAGAAGACCTCGGGGAAGGCCTAGGAAGACTTGGGAGGTTGATGTCAAGGAGGCCTTTGACAGAAGAGATGTTGACTAGGGGAGGAGGCGGCTGTTGGCCCAGGATCGGGAGTTGTGAATTCTTCTCTACAAGGAGGCTCCTCATACCGCTCAGCGGTAGAAGAGGAAACAATTAAGAAGAAATTTTGGCTAATTTGGTGGGACTAAGTACTTATTTACTACTTAATAATGGGCTCTACAGTTGAAGGTGGACCTTGGCCTTCACAATCTTTTTCCAAACCTCTTCCACATCACTTTTCCAATATTTCCTCGATCGTCCTCTTTTCCTTTTTCCGGGAAATTCCTCCCTAAGTATCTTCTTCATTGCTTTGTCGTCTGGTAGTGTTTCCACGTGTCCTAGCCAGCTAATTCTTCTAGACTTAATAAAGTGTACAATATCCTCGTGCTTCAACAGTTTATCCAGATCTTGATTTGTCCTGGTCCTTCATTCTCCTTGTACGCATAAAGATCCAAAAGTTCTTCTCATAATTTTTCTTTCGAAAATCCTTAGTGCCTTCGGGTCATCTATAGCTCACAAATGGTCGGAACAAGGATTTGTACACTTTCAGTTTTGTGACTCTGGATAGGAGTGTTTATTTAAAAAGCTTTAGCATACCAAAGTTCGCTCTATTGCCTGCCATGATTCTTCCTCTTATTTACGGACTAATCAAGTTTTCACTATTGACTTGCACCTCATGATATGTGAAACTCTTCACTGTTTCAAAAATTTATTCCTGGAAAACAAAACTTTCTGGCTTCCTTCTTGAATCCGAAGCAGAGACTACCATATATATTTTTTTTTGTGTTGTTAGCTATCAGTCCAACCTTCTTAAATTTTACCAATACATTCTACCAATGTCAATAGAACCACAACTATTGCCACTTTGCTTCTATCTAGAATTGCAATATCCCAATATCTGTCTTGTTCGGCATGCTAAATTACCACCTGGCGTGATCCCATTAATTAACTACATTGTGTAGCTCCAAGTTAAATAGAATTGCTGAGACTGCATCTCCATGCCTTATTCCAGAGTTAAATTGGAAGATTTCGCTAACCTGATTGCCAATTAGTACTTTAGCTTGTGTGTTCAGCATAGTCATTTCAATTAGGTGGATTAGTTTAAAGGGGATGTTATATTCACGCAATGCAATAAAAAAAAAGTTTCTTTTCGGTCAAAGGCTTATTTAAAATCTATAAACAGTATATGTATATCAATATTATCCTCATAAGACTTTTCGAGCACTTGTAACATACACATCTGATTGGTAGTACCTCTGTTAGGTCGAAAACCACAATGGTAACCTGTTATGATTCTTTCTGAATAAATTTGTAGTCTTTGCACCAGAAAGTTGAATAAAATTTTATATGGACATTTAGAAGGGTTATTCCGCGATTGTTTCCGCATACCATTTTATCACATTTTTGAATATTGGGGAAATTAAACCTGAGCACCATTCCTTAGGTATTTCCTCATCAAGCCATAACCTCAGCATCAGATTATATAATCTCTGTCGGAAAATATCTCCACTACACTTAATAATTATGTTGTGGGTGCTTTTTATGAAAATACAGTCGGATTTCAGAATGTGCAACCACACATCAAGTTTTTGTAACTTTCCGGATTTAATTGATATTAGGGTCCCCTTTTATGTTATGGGGGGGGGGCTTTTTATGAAAATTCTGTCGGATTTTAGAATGCGAATCAAGTTTTTGTAACTTTTCGGATTTAATTGATTTTAGGGTCCACTATTATGTTATCATAATATGATAATGGGGCGCTTTATATAAAAATACTGTCGAACCCTAATATTGATTAAATCCAAAAAATTACAAAGACTTTATGCGCTTTTGTGTATTCTCAAATCCAACAATATTTAAAGCGTCCCTGATAAGATAATAGTTTACCCTAATATTGAATAAATCTTGAAAAGTTACAAAACCTTTATGCGCGGTTGTGAATTCTTAAATCCGACATTATTTTCATTAAAATGGTCTCCGACAACATAATAGTGGATCCTAATATTGAATAATTCAGGAAAGTTACAAAAACTTTATGCGCGGTTGCTCATTCTCGAATCCAACAATATTTTTATAAAACATGTTAAGAAAACACAGCCCAATTCCTACTTTATTCAATTTGAATTTAATGGAAATGAAAGTTGCACTGCTACCATCTCTTGGCAGGCAAGAGAAGCAACAGGAACTGAGTACAGACATGCAGAGGACCTGCTAAATTCATGTCGACTTGAGACTGGAGCATAGCTGGCCAATAGTTGTATACTTCGATGAATAATGGTTCCCAAGGTCAATTTATATTTATAAATTATATGTATATATAATTTCAATATTTTAATTTCTTGACTTATGTTTGTCTTTTATCTTATAATTTGATTTAATAATTTGTTAGAAACCAGAAAAATGCTTCTGGAATTGTACATTTATATTTTTCTAAGGATATTTCGGTGTTTCAGAATAAAATTTACTTTCATTCCTTCTTTTCTTGCTGGCCTAGGATGTCCATGTTTCTCCTTAAGGGAATTTTGATTAGAATTTTCAATGCAACCTTCATCTTACTGCATACATAAAAATCCAGAAAACATCACTATTAATATCATCACTTTATATGATAATTTTAAATATTTATTTTATAAAAAAAAACATCATTAATTGGAAGACTAATTAAAAATGTGATGAATGATGATTGAACATGGAGCCGAGGTTCTTTTAGCAGCCAGTGCTGTGTTTTTTTATTATTATTTAATTTTATTATGCTTTGTCAATTTTAAAGCTTCATTTTTTTTTTAATGAATTTCTTATTTGTTATATCCTTATTAAATATTTTATTTGAAGTATTTTTTATAAGTAAGAAGTTTTTTTAATAATTAATCTATCACAATAAATCCCAGGTAATACAAAAAGAGTTGAATTCTTCTTATAACCTATTGTAATTAATTATTCTGGAAACATTGATAGTTAGTGAAGACAGAATTTTATGTTATATAATTGTTTTGCAAAACTCAAGGTGAATCTGAGCTCATTAATCAAAGAAGTTTTTCTGCAACAAAACAAATGTAGAATTTGTATTCCAGTAATAGACTGATTAAAAAATTAATGAATAATTGATGTTTTAACGGTAAACACATCTTCATCTTGGCATAATGAAGCTGCTTGGAAGCCCCTTCAAATTATTGTTTTAACTAAGACAAACTCTAGTTATTTTTAAAGAAAAATTTGTCTAGTTTCCATTGGCAATTGGTAATTACCTTAGTTAAATAGTCTTTAATTATCACTTCCTATTGAAACAATCATGACAACCTTAAAAATATAATCACAAAAAATTAAATTTAATCCTTTCCTTTTCAGAGTTAGGGCAAAGTCAAAATAAATTTTTCTGTTGCATTTAAGTTTATTATCACTTCCTCAGTTTTATACATAATTTACATTACACTATGTATATATGACAGTAGTGCAAGTTTTAATTTTATTAGATTATTTTTTTTTGGGGAGGGAGGATGAGTCCAGCACAATATTCCTCCATCATTTTGCTAAATCCTTACTATTTTAAGTTTAATTAATGTCTTTTAAATTAATGTTCTTCCTGTTTCTAGGGCATCTTGCATTATATTTTTTGTTGTAAACTTTTCCCTACATTGTATTACAAGATTTTTTTCCACTTTTATATTAAGTGAAAATATTTCTATCAATGGTGATTGGATATCTTATGATATTAGTTATTACTTTAGTTTTGGTTGATTAGTTGTTCCTCAATTATTTTATTTGCTTTATGAAGTAAGTCTTTCATATTGTCATCAAAGTTATAGTATACAGATGAATTGCTACAGGGAAAGTCCTGTTTTATTTTAAGATTATCAGGAAATTTACATTTAATTCTCTCTGTTAATATTTGAAAAATAAGTTGGGCCATGACTGGGCTGTTATATTTATTTAAAAAAAAAAAAAAAGAAATATTTCTGGTTACATTTAGTTCCAAAGAAATTAATTATTTATTTTAAGTATTCTGGTAAATCTCTAATTATAAAACTAATTTGAAATAAGATTGTTTCTTTAATTATATATATACTTTGTTTTCTTAGCTGAAGATCAGTCTATGCCAGAATCTCTTCTCCGTGCACAGGAAATCTCTGGAAAAAAACTTAAGTTTTTGTCTGTTGACCTCTTAAACTTAACAGCACTTGAATCAGTTTTTAAGAGTGTGAGTCTTTTATTTAAAACTATTAAATTGGAGGGTTAATTACAAAAAACAGACAAGTAAAAATGTATTATTTACACAATGGCCAAATTTTCTGTTAAACAATAGTCGAGGCTTAATTTTTTCTTATCAAAATTTGGGAAATATGGTCCCTGAGCTTTCATAATTTGTGCAAATGATATAACTGAATTTTATTTATAATATACAGAATCAAGAAAGGTTGTTTTTTTATTATTTTTTAAATAAAGAACAGCTTTTGACTTACTGATTTTTGTGATAAACCCTTAGAAATTATATTCTGAAGATTCATTTTCGACCTGGATAAGCATTTTTATTTTTTTTCTTCTTTATTCAACTATCAAATTCTTTCAAAAGTTATATTTAGCATTTTTTTTGTAACTCTGAATAATGTGAGATGATAATTTTTTTAAATAAACCATATTAAAGGTACTTTGAAGGAAGACGTATATATGAACATTGGCCATTTAAGCCCTGTGAAGTGACATCAATGGGGATAAGACCTAAATGATATTAAATACTACTTAATTATACAATGATAAACCTAATTTAATCAAAATCGTTCGAGATGGTTTTGAGGAAATTGTAAAAATGTGTTTCACTGTTGATATAAAGTGGCACTTCCGGTTAGCCGATTTTAACGAAAAAGTTTCTGTCACATCTGACCCATGTACAAACCTCAAATACTTAATATCAGTTTCGTATTACTTTTTACTTCGTTTTTGAGCTATACTGTGAAAACACACAGACCATTTTGCGAGACTTGGTTATTTCGACTCAGGTGACCTCAAAACATGTATTTCAGTTGAAAACTGAGATTCGAAAATTTTCACGATCGCAATATTTTCCTTTACTATATATTTCATATATAGGTAAATGAAAGTAAAAATTTTAACTTTGATTAAAATTTGAAATAAAATAAATCCCAGAACTAGTGAAAAACAAAAAATAATTTAAATACCATCATATTGTGTAAATAAAAGAAATAAAATAACTTTGGTACAAACATTGTTACAACAACAAGGTCATACATTATTTCAACTAATGTTTTCCGTATTTGCTTGTAATTCAACTTCTACCAAACCAGAAATATTTTTATTGGAGGAATCAATCGTCGGCACTAATAAAAACCTTATAATGACTGTGTCCTAAATATTTATCACCAAAGAAATACTTTTAGGTTATCTATTTTATTAGTTTAAATAATTTATCCAACTCATAAGCTCATTATACTCTTATATGATTATCTTATGGAATCGATAATTGTCTAAATTGTTGGATTAAATAATTAATTTTTTTAAATTAAAACATTAATAATTTTAATTTCTTTTTACTTATATTAATATTATATATTAATTAAATTTATGTTTTAGTATCACTTTGACTGTGTGATGCATTTCGCTGCCCTTAAAGCTGTGGGTGAATCATGCCAGAGACCATTGCAATACTATAGAAATAATGTTGTTGGAACACTGAATCTTCTTGATGTAAGTATGATAAGTATTATTACCTTCAATCCATAGTTGAAAGATAAGGTTGTATTTATTTATTTTTAAATTCAAGTGATGATCAAAAAAACCGGCACACCTTGAATTTGACCTAAAAACTGCAGATTAAAGAAATATTTTTGAGCCTGAAGTAATGGCAGGTCAAAGGGGTTTACCATGCATTAATCCTTTTAAGAAAATTTCATAATTCTCTCTAGGATTAATGATAAAAGTATTAAAATAAAATGTGGACTTCATATCAGTTTCTCTAGTTGACTGTTCAATCACATTGGTTCTGCTTTTGTGTGTTGTTTTCTTTAAAAACAATATTTCATTTTTAAGAGTGTAAAATGATTTTGGATGTCATGGCAGTCGCTCAGATTACGGTGTTAATTGAGAATGGCCGAAGTCCAAGTGGTCAGTCCAGAGGCACCGGTTGAAACTAAGCTACGCTAGGAGGTTTATATCAGGCCATCCAAGAGCAACAGGTTCAGCTGATAACCGTTTCATTGCTATGCAGACCCTCAGAAACTGCTACCATACTTCAGTTGAGACTTTTCATTGATTGGATATTGCTTGGTGTGCGGATATCAGCACACCACACAGTAAGAAGGCTTGCTGAACTCAACCTGCATGCTAGGGTTCCCGCTTCCAGCTCTCTACTTACTGCAGATCACCGAGAAGCTTACCTTCATTTTTGTCGTTTACACGCTATGCACAGATGATAATTAGGCCTCTGTTCTGTTTTCTGGCAAGTCCTGGTATGGCCTTTAGGATGCAGACGGATGAGTTCGAGTGTGGATAAGACCAAGTATGCAATAAGCTCAGTGCAATTTAGCTGAAAGAGTGCAGTTCGAGGAGGGTCATTGGTGGTTTGGGGTAGAATATGTTTAGAGTCAAGGAGAGACCTCCATATGTTCCGAAGACCAATGCTCAAGGCATACCTGTACCCCACCCCACCGATATCCTCGAGGAATATGTGGTACCTTTTGGCTTATTTATTGCCCTCCTCCTGTTCCTTTTTAAGCTGGATGATGCTAGGCCACTACAACATCTCAAATGTTGTACAGAACTATGTAGATAAGGTTATTGGATCTAAAGGAGGTTAGTGTACACACCCTGGAGTGGCCAGCTTGCAGCCCGGACTTTCTATTAAGCATTTGTGGAACCAGTTTGGTACATATGTGACCTCCACATTCGTGAATGGGATAAGATTCAAGATCGGGTAGTGTGTGTGTGTTCGTTTGTGCTCTTGCGTGCCTGCATGTGTGTGTTATACACATTTCTCCCTTTCTCTCTATTGTATATTGTATTTAAAAATTTTAAGTCTCAAATGTCACTTTATTTTTGTCTGCAAGAAAGGGTTCTAGGCCTTAAGACAATAAAAAATCAATCAATAAAAATCTCTTTCTCTTTCACACACACATATACACTCCTTCTCTGTTTCGTTATCCTATAGTACGATTATCATGATTGTCCCATGGTTTGTAACATCCCTTTTATGTGTTTGTTGATTCTCCCAGCTAATGTAAAGTCTTCTATACTATCTGGCCTGTGACGACAAGAAGTTCACTTTGTTTCTATAGTTTTCTCTCTTTAACATTCTTACCCTTCGTTATTTCTATTTAATTTTTATATATTTATCTTATGTTTTTTATGGTTAGTCAAGTTTATTTACGTTCTTCAGATTTTTTTCTACGACTTATTAAATTATTGAAGGAAAAATCGTGTTTCACCAGCTGTGGATTGAAGAAAGGCAATTGATCTTCCTAAGCTTCTGAGTATTATATACCAACAACACGCCTCTATTGACAAACAGTCATCTATTGACACGAAAATGGTTTTAGTTTCTATTAGTAATAGTGCCATCTCCAGGGAGGACAAATTTAATATAAGTTGTAATGAATTTCAGGTTATATTTCATGGTAAATGTTGCAATCTTGGTGATAAAAAGATTGAGACATTAAAATATCAAAAAAAAAGTATGGCTTTGTAAAAAATGTGACCAAGGCAAAAAGACATACCAAGCTAGAGAAAAGTCAGCCAGTCTGCCTAGAAGTGAAATCAAGGAGCCATCAGCAGCTGGTATTCCCTAGACGGTTAATCGATTTAGTGCCCAAGTCAATTATGAAATTAAAAATTTTAAGTCGTTAGAAAAATATAGTGAGCTCAGCTTTGAGTTAAATGAAAGATTTTCAAAAATAGAAAGCCAAGCTAAACACATTTGGAGGAATTAAGGAAAACAAAACACTCAAATCCAGAGTAGGAGACTCAAGGTACAATTAAACAGAGCCAAGCAGATCCTACTTTATAGATCAGTAGAGATTCGAGGCTTATTGGATTCAAGTTAGTTTTTTAATTCAAAACGGCATCTTTAATTTATGAATTCTTTTGCCATTTAAATAATTGAAACTGTTTTTCAACTGTTGCTGTGAACACTTAAGGTTCAATATATACTTTTACTAAAACAACTTTTTTTTTTTCTTTTTTTTATTATTTGAAAATTAATACATTCTGCCGCATTGGAGGGCATTAATATTAGGGCTACATTAAACATTCACACAATATATACATACAAATGATAACTAAAATACAGATAAAAGAAAAAGAGTTGTGGAAAGTAAAATAAGAAAATTAACATACATAGGTAAAAAAATAAAAAATAAAAATAAATAAAAAAATGAGAGAAGCTAAATGAAATTGAAATAATTAAAACAACTAAATTTAAAAAAAGACTGAAATGTGACCCTCAAGATAAGAGCTCAAATTTAACATGGTGCCTATATGGATTTAATATGAATTGTTTTATGTTATATTCTCTTTTCAGGTAATGAACAAATCAGGGTGTTATAGTCTCATTTATTCTTCTTCCGCTACCGTCTATGGAGATCCTACTAGTCTCCCTTTAGTCGAAGGTTCACCTACTGGTTCTGTTACAAATCCATATGGGGGAACAAAACACACTACTGAAATGATTATGTCCAATTTATGTGCCTCTGATGATGTGAGTTTCTATTGAACTTAAGGAACTAAGCAAATTTATTTGTAAATATAATAACCATGATATTTATTTAATAGAGGTGGAAGATAGTTTCATTGAGATACTTCAATCCAGTTGGTGCTCATGAAAGTGGTCTGATGGGAGAAGATCCCAATGGAATTCCTAATAATCTCATGCCTTATATTGCTCAAGTAGCTGTTGGTAAGCTGAAGGAACTCAGTATTTATGGCAATGATTATAATACCAGAGATGGAACTGGTGAGTTTATTCATATATAATTTAATTTATTTCTCTTTCTTTTCACAGTAGAGTGTTTGTTAATCAGGAAGGTTTATCCATTAAAATGGGAATTATAACATTCTTTTGTTTAGAAGCCAAATATTGCATCAATTACTTAGTAAAGATTGATGCACCAACTAACGTTATATAAGACATGATGTCATGTTATTTTTCCAACAATTTTATATACACCCCCTGATTTTTGTACAGTATGCTCATCACGAGCTTCTGATTTAAAATTCAGTTTTTATCATACACAGTATGTAGAATGATACTAAACTAATTTTTTTTATATCCTCATTTGTGACATTTATTTTTATATAAAAGTATTCGAATGCTCTAGTGATGAACAGGGGATCGGTACTAGTAATGGACATACCTCAGGAAATTTCTAAAATCTTTATCAAACTATAAAAAACGATAACTAGAGTTAATTAATTTATTTATTTATAATTGGTTTATGATTTAAACAAATATATATATATAAACTTAATCATAAATTCTTGATATGCTTACATAATAGGTAATATATATTAAAAAAAGTATGATCATATTTTATAATAATAATGCATAAACCGTAGTGTGATGGAACGTAATTAATATATATTTAAATAGAGAGTGCTTCTATGGTCCCTTTACACGCCAACCAGGTATAGTTCATTTTTCACACAAATTAGACACTTCAGATTTTTAGTATATTATTTTCAATAATGAACAATTGTATTTAATCAAGGAAACAAAAACTTTTGAGTTAATTATAGGTATGTGTATTTAAAAGATAAAGAAATAAAACAAAAAAAAAACAACAAAAAAATTGAAATCAGACAACTTGATTCAAAGAAATGATGTTTTGAACTTTTTTTATCTGTCCTATTGCAAAGTCTGTCCTTTTTATTATAATTGAAATACTTTTTTTTTATGGAAAAATTCAATATTGTTATCTGAAGAATAATTTGATTTTTCAATTTGTTAAAACGAAAGATGAATGAAAAACCTTTTAAATAGACAAGTTTTTATGTAATTTTTCAGAGAATTGATAGGAATAATGTTTTGTGACACGCCACACGTACTTATATGATTTATAAATATTTGGAAATAATAGAAAATTGTGTAATAATTTGCACAGTATTGGTATTTACAGTCAAACGTAAGAAAAAGATTTTTTAAAACTTGTAAAATTGATAGACATTTCTATTAATGAACACAATGGACCTGGTAAAGGACATGGTTGGGCCCAGTGATGGACACCCCTGTCTAAAACTAGTTAGAGATGTTTTAGAGGAAAATTAAGAATACCATGCGATTTTCCGTTTCTAGAATCAGAAAATACAAAAACATGATAAATTTTAGTAAAATTGCAGAGCACCATTACTAGCTCTCCCTTTCAGGGTATATCATACCCATAGAAAAGAGGATGAATAAAAAATAGATAATTTTCAATTAATAAATATAATTGATAAGGCAGATGGGGTAGGTTGTAGAAAAAATAGAGGCCACTCCGGGTTGATTTATTGTGAGCAAATAGATTGTATTAATATTACATTGTAATTAATTAATATTACTTTGTAATTAATTAATATATTGACTAACATTATAAAATTGAATGGATGTTAAAGTAGTAGAGTTAAAACAATGATTGCTTTGTGCATGTTATGTGTTGTGATATTATTTATAATAAGCGTGGTTTATTTACTAATAAGTGCTGATGACAATTACAATTGAAAATTATATTGAAACTACTTTTAATTAATCACTCTCAATTTTTAATAGGGTCAATTAGTAAGTTGTATTATAAATTAATAATTAATTTGATAAATGTATCCAATAGAAATGGCAATGCTTTTAGCAACAATAAACGAAAAATAGTTAAGTAATGAAATGAATAGCGAATTAGGACTAAGTGGTAAAAATAAAACTATTAAGAATGATGAATACCAAGTTATCGATCTTATAACATCCCCGAGACAGTTGATAAACCAGATTTAGGAAATGTAACATCAAATTTAACCATTTGACGGCGGACGGGATACATAACTTCCCGTTAAGAGTTGGGTCACTGGTGTGGACGGGATATATGCCTTCACGGTAGTGAGTTGGGTTACTGGTGTGGCCGGAATATATACACGGTGGGCCAGACCCCCTTACCGTGCACCCCCCCCCACATCCCTATAAATTGCATATCGTTGTGTTCCTTGTAACAATTTATTAAAAAAAAGCCAATGTTCCCACAAAAAAAAGTGAACGCACTGCCCCAAAATGGCGTCCAAAGATGGCGGATTGACGACTTTGACTTTAGTTAGTTTTTTGGTCACTGAGAATCAGCATTAAGCTTAATTTCCTCATAGTTGGTCTTTTATTAAAGCTGAATAGTTATAGAATAATAAAACATGAAGAAATATTAAAAAATAATTGGCTAAGGCTATGAAAAACACCAGTAAAGTCAATTTTTTTAACAAAAAAATTTTCAAGTTACAAATCAAGCGTCGTTTGTAATTAAACGGCCTACAATAACGCAAAACGTCCTGAAATAAACCATCTGGAGAATATATTTCTCTTTCTGAAACGCTGATTATTTTTTACAAATGTTTAAGTAGTTCCGTAAAAAATGCACTTATGCGGCAGAAAAGCGGTACTGGCATGGGTGCCTACAGGCCTCTACCACACCATTCAGTGCCCATAAATGGCTTAGTTATAGTGATATAATAACATTTTTGGTACATTATATTGGTTTTATTAACGAACAAATATTAATGCAATAATTTTATAGTAAAAAAAAAAATTTAATTATTATTATTTTTTTAAATTTTAACCTCCTTTATTCTATACGTAGGTCGTTTAAGAATACCTCAATTGTAAAAATGATATAATTATAATAATAAAACTTAATTTAAAAATATTTTGCTAAATATCTTGATTTTTTTTTATTCAACATTTGCAATTTAACACTGTGTTTTGAATATTTACTGATTCTTAGAAGTAATTAAAATGTTTATATACTTCCCAGGAAATGAGTCATATTCATAACTTTTTTATAAACTAAAATAATATATACCTAATCTGAACTATATATAATGAATAGCTACCGGGTTGTTTAGTAAAACTCATATATCACTAATTAAAACATTAATTTTTATTTCCTTTATTTTGTGCAGAAGTTGGACTATATCATAAATAAATAGGAAATTTTAATATTGAATGAATTATTCTCTATGCACAAAGAAAGATATAAAGGGTGACCCTATAAGTTCTTCTATAAACCAAAACTGATTGTTTAGATTTGATCTCAAAATGAGGAAAAACATGACCTTAAACGAGAAAATTGGAAAAATACATTAAGCGAACGAGAAAGGAAGTGCCAAAACCTCGGAATAGATAAAAAGGACCAGTTATATCCATTATATAGCTAAATGAATGTATAGTTATATAGTAGATAGATGAACAGAATATTTCAAGATGCTGCTAAAACGGGATCAATTGCAGTTTGGATGATATTAAGTGGACGATGTAGGTTTATTATGGTGAAAACCACTTTATTTTCGATTGCTGAAGGTGCACCTCGGGACTATATTAACTTTGAGAGATGAGTATATCGAGAAAGTTATAGCTCATAGCTTTCCTTCTGTTTAGTGGATTTTCAAAAGATTTTTTAAGGGATCTAAAAGGAAAACGAGTTTTTCTGAAAGACAGTTAGATATTAGCATAATCCAAAGTGTGAGGCACTGAGCAGATAGAGAGCTATTTTTCTTTTTATGTGGACTTCTCTATAACCTGCCTTAAAGTGAAGACAGTCCCAATTTTCAACTTCTCTTCCAATGTGCAACTTGAGTTTCTCAATCCATATCAATCTGGCAATCGACAATATTTCTTATTCCAGCTTCTACGATTCTTGTGTATAATTTGTTTGATACACTAAACAGGAATGGGTCTTGATGGGTATTACTTTTCCTAGTATCTCCTTTCTTGTAAAGGTAAAAACCACAGTCCTTTCATATTATTTTCTAATATGCTTGTTGCCTATGTACGCGCAAAACTGTCAAAGCAGTTCGGTTTCGCCCTTTCCATCTTTCTTTGTGCAGAGAGAATAATACATTCAATATTAAAATTTCCTATTTTTTTATGATATGGTACAAATTCCGAACAATTCAAGAATAACGAGCTACAACTAATATAAGATACCTTAAAAAATCTTTTGAAAATCCACTAAACAGAAGGAAAGCTATGAGCTATAACTTTCTCGATATACATCTCTATATTCATCTTCAAAGTTAATATAGTCCCGAGCTGCACCTTCAGCAATCGAAAATAAAGTGGTTTTCACCATAATAAACCTACATCGTCCACTTAATATCATCCAAACTGCAATTGATCCCGTTTTAGCAGCATCTTGAAATATTCTGTTCTATCTATCTACTATATAACTATACATTCATTTAGCTATATAATGGATATAACTGGTCCTTTTTATCTATTCCGAGGTTTTGGCACTTCCTTTCTCGTTCCTTTAATGTATTTTTCCAATTTTCTCGTTTAAGGTCACGTTTTTCCTCATTTTGAGATCAAATCTAAACAATCAGTTTTGGTTTATAGAAGAACTTATAGGGTCACCCTTTATATCTTTCTTTGTGCATAGAGAATAATTCATTTAATATTAAAATTTCCTATTTATTTATGATATAGTCCAACTTCTGCACAAAATAAAGGAAATAAAAATTAATTTTTTTAATTAGTGATATATGAGTTTTACTAAAAAACCCGGTAGCTATTCATTATATATAGTTCAGATTAGGTATATATTATTTTAGTTTATAAAAAAGTTATGAATATGACTCATTTCCTGGGAAGTATATAAACATTTTAATTACTTCTAAGAATCAGTAAATATTCATAACACAGTGTTAAATTGCAAACGTTGAATAAAAAAAAATCAAGATATTTAGCAAAATATTTTTAAATTAAGTTTTATTATTATAATTATATCATTTTTACAATTGAGGTATTCTTAAACGACCTACGTATAAAATAAAGGAGGTTAAAATTTAAAAAAATAATAATACATTTTTTTTTAATTTAAATTTTTTTTTTTTACTATAAAATTGTTACAAAATAATTTAATAATAAATTGTTACAAGGAACACAACGATATGCAATTTATAGGGATGTGGGGGGGGGGGTGCACGGTAAGGGGGTCTGGCCCACAGACTAATAAGCCTTCCCCCCTGGGAGGTTGCCACTTAAAGAGGTAGGGGCAAGTCCAGCCTTCACTATTTGACTTGTTTCTTGGTCTTTGCATTCATTAGTCCCCTGTAGCTAAGTCAGTGCAGTCATTCCGGATTCTGACCATTTGGAAGCTTTCCAGTTCCAGATTTATTCTGAACCCAAAGTATGTCCTTTCTCTGATATTTGTGTCATACCCATGATATTATTTATATTTTATTTTAATGTTTTAAACATCAAATAAATGGTAATAATTTAATTTTATATATATTTTTTTAATTTTGTATTTTACTAAATACTGATTTTGGTACACGAGAATCTCTGTCTATTAAACAATTAAATGTAAGTTTCCCACATTTTATATACATAATGTAATAAATACATGTAAAAATATACAAAAATGAAAATGTTATATTAAAAATTAATAAATATAAAAATATACAGAATTAAAATGATAATTGAATGAATGATTAGTGATTAATTGTTTTATCATTTTTTATCCACCTAAAAACAGTGCATATATTTCATATAATGTAAAAGTCTTTGAAACTCAAAATAAATTAAGTGCAATAATAAAATTTATAACTGCGCTACTTTCAATATAGAACTTTTTTAGGTAAGAAAAAAATGTTAAATACAAAGAAATATATAATTAAAATTACGCCATTGGTCTCCTTCACTTAGAAATAATATAATTTAATTTTTATGATCACTTACAGTTATTTTTATGTTAAAGTTATTTTGCTTTTCAGAAATGAGCAAATATGCAAGAAAGTGAAGTGTTGTGGGATTGCTGCTCTAATTTTGCATTGCTATGTGCGGGCGAGAAGGCATATGTCCTGTTTGTTAAAAGTCAAATAAAAAGGTTAAAATGCATTTTGAAAGCTAAGATCTGAATAATTCCTTTCCAAGATTTTTTATTTTTATTATCAAAGCATTTTATTTAAGTATTGGCAAACCCCTAAAATCTAGAGAATCAGACAAGAACTTTTTCTTTATCCAATCCCTATACCTTAAGGCAGGAGTCTCTAATTTTTCTCTATCCTGTTCACTGCCAATGATAGGGGTCAGCTCTGAGTTAATTTTTAGTACATTTTTATTTACCTATGCCACATACAATCAAAATTGTATTTTCATGTTCTTTGAAGGTATCCGGCTTTAAGGATGGGAATGGTGGAACTGTATAGGAAAAGGTGGCTCGACTACAAACATGTTAATATTTAGTTGGCGGACACCAATTTTTTTGTGTTTTTTCTTGATTTTTCATTTTTTGATATTGTAAATGATAATAATAAAAAAGGATAATTTTAACTTTAAAAAAAGGTTTCTATTTCTGACCTTTTTTCATTAATTATTCTCTCCTTACTTTTCGCCTAGGTCCAGTTTAATAAATAATTAATCTCAATTAGTAGATTATTCTTTATTAATTTTTATTAGTACATTTCAGGGATCTTTGTCCCTTATATAAATGATACATTACAGGTTCTATCTGAACCAGTCATTTTCAAAAGGCTTAGCAAACCCGAAGGTTCAATGCCAATACCATAAATTCTACATTCTTCTATCCACCGGCTACCATCCAGATCCAACCCTGCCAGATCAGCAATAAGGCAATCCTCTTACCTTCGCTTTGGTCTATCTCTCGGACATTTACCAATCAGCTCACATATTAACCTTTAGGGAATCTTGCGTTACTAAGCCCAACAATATTAAACAACCATTTTGTTTTCCACAATTTAATCACCTCAAATATATTAACTGAATATAGTTCATGCAATTCAGTATTCTGTAACTGTCTAAACTCTCTGGTTGACTCATCCTTCTTCAGTCTGAATATTCTACACAATAGTTTATTTTAAAAACCTTAAGACATGCTCATCCCGTAATGTAAGTGGCCATGTTTCGCATCCTTAAAGAATCGTAGGTAGGATAAGGGTTTTGTAAATTGTAATTTATAAGTTTAGGGTCAGGAGGCACGAGTTAAGTAGTTTTGTTTAAAAAAATAACTAGCATTTCCCACCTTCAATCTAACCGTAATCTCCTTTTCAGTTTGTTTTTTTTCTAATTATGGTAGACCTAAGAGACCTAAATCTCTCCACATTTTCAAACATATTCCCTTTTATATCGATATCACAGAAATGTGATCACTAGAACTGTCTCTGTATTTGCAACTAACCATATATTTTGTTTTATCCATAATTATTTTAAGCCTCAGTTCTTTACCGGCTTTCAATAATGTCATATTTAGTTCTATAATTTCTGCCAGGACCAAACAGGACCAAATGATCAGTATAACAAAGCTTGAATATTGTTTAATGAATATTAATAGGTTTGAGATTGGAGCAGAATTAAATTCCTTTGGTATATTCAATTTGGGATTGACAAAGAAGACCAAGAGGCTCACTTGCCAGATCCATTCTCTTCTGTCATTCTGTCATGTTCGCAACAAAATGTTAACCGTATTTATAAATTTTGTCATGAACAAATGAACACTGAACAAACGCACATTATATCACAAAGTTTTAATTGCATCTTTATGATATTCAGCTGTTTCACGGCTTGGCTTACTTATTTGTAAACAACTAACTTAAGAACTCTATAAAATCTTAACCTACCCAAATCCTATCTGATAATTAATGTTATTTTATTGTACACAAACATAAATTAACATACTTAAACAAAGATAATCTGCTAACTTGAATGTTGATTATAAATTATCCTATTGACTACTTATTACCCATACTCTCAGAAATATTGAAAATACTTAAATATCTTTACTGATCACTGCTGTTTTGTTTAATAATTGACATTGTATTTATAGGTGTCCGTGATTATATTCACATTCAGGACTTAGCGGATGGGCATGTGAAGGCTCTAGGGAAAATATTTGAGAAAAATTTTAATGGTTATAACGTCTACAACCTTGGAACTGGCCAAGGACATACAGTTCTTGAGGTATGTAATAAAAGTATTCAACAGACTTTAACAGACATGAATCATTTCCTACCATTATATATCATTCATCGACTAATGGTAGGAGGCTTATTATTCCCTAGTGGAAGCATGGATAAGTACAGTGGCTTAATAATACAGTGCGGTCATATGGAGTCGATTTCTGATTGGTTGGCCATCTTGGATCGTCCCTTGCTATCTGCTTGCTCTTTAGGCACCTCAAAACTGTTAAAATTTCATATTTTATTAGCAGTATTTTAGTTCAGAAGCTTAATTTTGTTGTTTAAGTGATAGGTTTAGTTTATTAATAGGTAGTTTTTATTGAATAGTTATACGTTTTAGTGTTTTCAGTGATTGTTTTGGTTTCTTGTTCAGTGATAGGTTTCATCTTTACAGACTTATTTTATTAGTGATATTTTATTTAAAAGTTTAATTGTGTTGTTTTAGTAATAAATTTAGTTTACTAATAGGTAGTTTTTATTTAATAGTTGTACGTTTTAGTGTTTAAAGTGATAGTTAACCTATTCATGTTCAGTGATAGGTTTCATCTTCACAAACTCATATTTTATTAGTGATATTTTGTTTGAAAGTTTAATTGTGTTGTTTTAGTAATAGATTTAGTTTATTAATAGGTATTTTTTATTTAATAGCTATATATATTAGTGTTTAAAGTTAAAGTGACAAGTTTGGTTTCTTCTTCGTAGACTTAAAATTGTGAGTATACTTTAATTTTTTACTTTATTTTATTAATTTTCCTTTTTAATTCAGTGGTAATGAAAGAATAAGATGGAAATCAAGTTTGAAACTTGGTTATATGAAGACAGTGTCTATAGTTCGAGGCTATTAGCTAACACAATTTTTATCTTGAAGTTATTAGTTTCTAGTATAAAATTGAAATTTTGTTTTCCTTTATAGTTATTGTTACTTTCATCATTAAAATATGAGTATCATTTAAGGTCAAGATTATCATTTAAGGATCATCAACTATACTCAATTAAACTATGATTTAAGGATCATCAACTACACTCATATTTTTAATATTGAAAGTAACAATAACTATAAATGAAATCCAAATTTCAATTTTATACTTGAAACCACTGACTTCAAAATACAAATTGTATCAGCTAATAGCCCCAAACTATAAAAATATCTTCTATAATCAAGTTTCAAACTTAATTTCAATCTTTTTCTCTCATAACCACTGAATTACAAAGGAAAATTAATAAAATAAAGTAACAAATTAAAGGATTAAGTCAATTTCGAACCCTATATGAGCCAAATCAACTCAGTTAGAGGTGATTTAAGAGGATTTTTCATAGAGAAAAATGAGTTCTGTTGATGAAGAACACATATTTAATTGTCACAATATTAAATATAGTATTCTTAAGAGGTTTATTGTATTTAGACTTAGGATAAATTCAATAAGTAAAAAGAATTTCCCTCATATGTCTGTTTTTAGCAGTAAATATGTAAATGTATATGTGCAGCATTTATAAATTAAAATTTCTTTGTAAATAAATATTCTGTTTCATCTTTTTTTTTATAATATTCCTTTGTTGATTAAAAATGTTTTCTTTTTCAAGTTAAATTGGATAGTTCTTCAATCAATTGATAATTTATTGTATTTTATCCTTACAGTTTTATGTTTCACTATTAGTTATTTTTACTTGGTATATCCTGTGTGATAAAATTGAAAATATATTATAGCCAACAATCTCTAATTACCCAAAAAAGTAATGAAAAATAAATAAAATAAGAGATGCAATATAAAATATCTACATTATGGTAAGAGGTAAACCATTTTATAAAAAATATTTTATATCAATGATCAGAAATGAATCTATACATCGAGGATCAAATTTTGAACTATTTAAAATTTTAATTATAGTGGATTTATAATAGTTAGTGTTGTCCAAAATCAGTCTTGGTGATATACTTTGCAAAATCAAGACTAAGGCCTGCCTAACTTGTAAGACCAAGACCAAGATTGATAAAAAAATCCTTTTTATGAATAAAAATTAAGTTAAAATAGTCAACCTTGAAATAGTTGTAATTGTAAATCTTGAAAAATTTAGTTACCATGTGTAAAGAATTGGTGTAACCAATATCCTTTGAATTTAACTCTCAATTTTTCATTTGGGCTTAGGTTTCCCATGTCTGACAAATTACAGTAATATATCTATAATAAGAAGCTGATAGGTAACTGGAAGACTGCTGGGAGACTTGCACAAGACCAAGACACCTCATGGTATCGCATTTGGGCAACACTAGTTATGGTATTCAGTCATAAGCAATATAAATAAATTATATTTATTAAATTTACATTAAATAATTTATTTTTATTAAATTTACATTAAATAATTTATATTTATTAAATTTACATTAAATAATTCATATTTACTAAATTTACATTAAATAATTTGTATTTATTAAATTTAGATTAAATAATTTACATTTATTTAAAGTTTTTTTTTTTCTAAAGGTGAATATTAAGAAGAAAAATAAAAATAGTTTCATGATTGCTGACTTAAAATTGAGTTTCTGGTTTTCCAATGAAAGTTAATTTTCACTCAGTTTTTGTTTAATGTTTTAATAATTAATTAATTTGCCAATGAGAGAGTAAGATGAATACAATGGAAATCTTAATATGCCGAAGTTTATTGGAATATATTTTAAAAGAAATTAAACAGAAAAAAAAAACAAATATTGTTCTTTGATTTTATTATTTATTTTCGTGTGATATAAGTGATTCATATGCATCATACAGATTGTTCAACTTCAACTCTATCTTCCAAACCATTCTAGTAAATAGTTTGTTGCAATAATTACTTTTTAAATTGAAATAACAAAGACAGACTATTCAAATATTAGTTTCTCGCCGATCCAATATGGCCGTCCCATCCGTATGACCGCACTGTATTATTAAGCCACTGTATGGATAAGGAATGATAGCAAATGCCCCTAAGAGTAGGATTTTTGTTTACTCCAAGCAACCACTGTATAAACCTATTATTCCTGTTTTAAAAATCTGCTGAACTTTCTATATAAATGGAAAACTTAGCATTTCAAATGAAAGCTGAATATTCTTCATTCATTCATTAAATAAATTAAGTTAAATCCTTTCTCAAATCCAAGGTACTGGTGCTGGTACTGATTGATATTGGTGGGGGGACATAGTCTGGCAAGTGGACCTTGTCCATTTTGTCAACCCCTGATGACTACCCAGTGGTTACTGCCACTTACTAACCGGAGTGGGAATGTCAAGATTCATTTCCCAGAGCCGCACACTGTGGCGAGCTTAAGATTTTTTTAATCGGCTCTAACTTACTCAGAAATTGCAGTATACTACTCAAATTTGATCTGTTTATGTTTTTGAGGTTATTGAATTTGAATTCAAGCCATTTGGTAGGAAAGATAAAATAATAAAATATTATTTTTTTTTTTATCTTGAATTTAATTCTATAGGTAAATATTTTTCTATTTAAAAGTTATGCGAGTACTTATGAAATATTACATTTAAGATGGTATGTTATACACTATTGTACCACTATTAACTGAGTATATTTTCGTTTTCTGTTTGTATGGATCTACTATTTTTTTGTTTCTTATCTCCATTGATTATAGGATACTATCTAGATTATTTCTTTTACCTATTTTTTCTAGTTTCTACTTTTCAATAGTTTTGCTATTTATGTTTCAGCATCCACGGTGTATCTCAGATCAATCCAACCTAATTATTTCCATATCTCTCGCCCCTCCTACCAATTCCCTATCCCAATCTACCATCTCCTATGGCTAATATCTTATTATCCTGTCATGTCAACCGCACAGTCACTTTTAGCCCACATAGATGAATTACATGATTTCTTCCTCCACAACTTCTACCACCTAATTGCTGTCTCTGAAACTTGGCTAAAACCCACAATCACATCCTCTCAAGTTTCACTCCCTAACTATACCCTACTCCGTCATGATAGAGAAAATGGGATCGGAGGCGGAGTAGCCATTTTTGTTGATGATAGCCTGAAATCCAAAATCCTTGCTTTGTCTCATCCCTCCGTCTCCCCACATATCGAATACCTTTTTGCTGAAATATCCACCTCCTCATATTCATTGCTCATTGGTGTCATCTATCGACCTCCTAGAATCCCCTTTGATGAAACACTCGAGACCATCCTCTACGAACTGAGCCATTCCTACTCCAATATTGCTCTTTTCGGAGATTTTAATACCAACCTATTATTTCCTTCCTCTGACAAGCCTATTTATCAAACCTCCTCTACTCTCTCAATCTGTATATAGTTCTGTACAACCCTACCCATCACACCCAATACTCAGACTCTTTGCTCGATCTTTGCATTATTGACTCTCCTGATAAACTCCTCGCCTCATTACAGCACCCGGTTCCGTCTTTGTCTGCTCACGATTTTATACAGATCTCCTATAACCTTCCTGTTCCTCTATTTAGTCCCCGATCTATATCTTTCAGAAACCTTAATTTCCTATTATCTGAAACTTTGATGCCCGATCTTGATGCAATCCAATGGGACTCCATATACTCTTCTAACTCTGTTGATTTTATGGTAGAAACCTTAACCAATCAACTGCACATTATCCTAGACTGTCACACTCCTCTTAAAGTCAGGACAATCAAGTACCCACCAGCCCCTTGGTTGACGCCTGCGATAAAATATTGTATCAAACAAAGAGATGCAGCAAGACGAAGGTTTAAGCTTACTCGACTCCCCGAAGACTACATGAATATTAAGCTGCTTCGAAACAGTACACAATCCATGATACGCAGTGCCGAATCCCACTGCTACCAATAATCCTTATCCAGCACACCAAACTCCAAAGCTATGTGGGCAATCCTCCGTAAATTATCCTTAGGAAAATCCACCGAAACCCAGACTACCTCTATTTTAGCTGACATACTCAACACTCATTTTGTCTCCTGTTCATCCGATCCTTCTGTACAAGCACCAGCTCCACCCCTCATATAT